CAGGACCATAGCTGGCACACCTCGTCTTCAGATGGGTGAGGTACCTTCAAAGGGTGGCGTCTCTCCCCGGCTGGTGACCCTGCAGCGATTCCGCCACTCAGTGTCAAGCTGCGGAGGGACGACCTTTCGAAACAGGACTATTGTAGAAGGAACGGCTCCACCTCTCAAATGATCACGGAATCTTTTTAAGTTTAGAAATAGGATATAGTAATTTCTCAGTATCCAGGCTACCCCGTACAACACAGCGAATATAGATACCTGCGTGGAAAATCGACTTGAAGCAGGATTTCTGGTCGACTCGCAGCCATAGAACGTATTTCGCTTCGGGTCTCAGTCGCCTCCACGATCCCATGCACAACGATAGGGCCATTCCAGTACATATAGGAACGACGAGGGCGGCTTTGCAGGAAGTAACACCTAGGTTTTAGAAAGATGTCAATGCACAGCAAGTTCAAAGAGGCTAATATGCGTGTAGGCCGCTGTGGCGCGTTACTTTCCAGTCGCGGCACATCAGTACAAGTCGTCTTCAACCTTCCAAGTCAATGCTGCGATGTCGCGACTGGGAAATAATGCCCCACCTCTTCCAAGACAGAACTCATGAAAAAATTTAACACTAAACTCTCCAAAATCCCTCTCCTTCTAGTTTTCTTCTCGTCTTTTCTCTCCACGACCTTTTTGGATCGAGTTAGCTTGAAAATTTCAAAAGAAAAATTTGGAAATTCTCCCTGGTGAGGAAGCCTCCGTGGAAGCTCAGGACATGCTCCAAGATGGCCGGTTGGGTTCAGGAAAATCATGATCGTCCCTTCCTCGTTGCTGTATCCCTCTTTCTATCAATGTAGCTAGGTCTCAATTCAAAGATCCTTGGGAAGTTGAAACCATTCCCCTGTTAGATCGATCCGGCAACACCGTCGCCGCCTTCATAACTTATTAAAATTCTGTGGATACATCCTATACAAACATCGTATACAAACTGCAGCAGAAGAAGTTTCGTGTGACCTAACTAGGGAAGGTCGTCAGGTCGAAGTGGCCATTTGTAATGAGATGTAGCTCACTAGACGTGGTTTTGGACGCTGATCTCGAATCTGCCTTTGAAATTTGCAGAAGCGATTCTCTGAAAGGAATTATGATGGCTTGTTAGAATTAAAATGAAGGAAAACGGAGTCGAGCGCGGTTGCCAGCCATTCGCATGAATAGAAGAACCCTTAACTTCAATGGTGGCATGGTGTAGTGGTAATGGTCTTGCTTCGCGGGCATGCCATGAAGGGTTCGAATTTCTGGAAGGGAACTTCTTTTGCATTTTGTGGGGAATGTCTCTTTTAAGTCTAGAAAACACTCAAACGCCAAATGGGTGCCATATTCGTGTTCAGGGAGCAAAACTACCCTTGGGACAAGTTTCTAGCCAGAAGTGAGGTTTTGACCTAACTTTGAAAAGTGCGGTAGCAGTTGATCGAATGATGGTCACCAATAGTTCCAGGGCCAGTCTCTTGTCGATTGCTTGTCTTTGGACGGAATTTGCTTTTAGATACCAGGAAAACTGGAGCAGTAACAACATGAATGCGTAAGAAGTGGCAAGACGAGGCTTTGTGCAGGAGAATGTATCTGCAGCTGAATAGGTGTGAACATCAACTGAACTAACCCATGGATGCTTCACTTTTCGAAGTCAGGTCAAAATGGCAGATTTGGCTAGAAACCTCTACCTAGGCGTAGTTCGCCCCCATAAATACGAATATGGCACTCGCTCAGCGCGAAAACGTCTGCACTGCGCGCCAAGGGCACCTGTACATCCTAAAATTCTCCTAGATCATGATGCACTAAGCGCGCCAGTAAGCGAACGCAAACTGTTTTTCAGGCAAGTCAAGGAGAGCGCTAATGTAGAAGCGACGCCAACCACTTTTTGCCACGTTTGCGCTGGAAGCAAAAAAGTTAAGCTCAGCAGGGATCCGATCCCATGACCTGTTGCGTGGTAAACGCGGCTCCATAACTCCGTTCAGAGAATCGCTTTGCAAATTTCAAAGGCAGATTCGAGATCAGCGTCAAGATATCTCTTCAGCATGAAACCCCTGTAAATTCGATTTATTCAGGATAATATTCCTCACCAATCTGTTGTATCGCGTGCAGTGCCAGTTCGTTTGCAAGACAAGCAAGCATGGATGAGCCGAGTGCTTTGGGTTGGATGTCAGTGATATTACCACTGCGTCCGATTCCATGAGTTAGGCTGAAATTAGAACTAGTTAGATGTAGTAGAATGTTGGTTGGGAGGTCCATAATCGGGAGATCCGACTGTTGGTCGGAAGATCCACCCCAAAAGATCCATTGGGACCACACCCCAAAAGGTTGTTGCAAATGACGTCACCTGTGCGGATTCCACACTGGCACTTAACTGGTCGTGGGGTCGTGGGAGTGTCACAGTAGGATGGGTCAATTAGCTGGAAAGTAATTCTAGCTAGTTGATGAACGTAGCCGCAGTGTGGACCTTCCGACCGCACCACGAGGAAATTTACCTGCGAAATTCTGAAGGCACTTTGGCAAAAGGGCAGAAAAGAACGTGACTAGGCATGCAACAAATAGGAAACAGGAAGAATAGAAAAGAGCAAAGTGCTCATGTCATATCCCCGACACTTTCGACAAAAAAAAGAAACGGAAGTAAACACGGAAGGGCATACCTACAATGAAGTCTCCGCACCAAAGGACAAGCGACTCGTCCTTCTCGCTCACCCGCACCCACAGTAGCCTGCAATACGGGTTTCAACTATTATCACCTCAGATAGTCCTGTCTGAGACCATAAGCTTAGAAAAACGAAAGCTCAGTCGAGAACATGGAGACAAGTGTGAAAACATGAAGGCGTTAACATAGAACATGAAGGCGCTCGCATGGAGAAGGGCTGGTTGCGCGTACCTGTCCCTACGTTGCTGATGATGAGCGTGTCGGGTGACGGGTTTGGCGCGATGTCAGTCTGTTTCGTTTTTTCCTCTTGGCAAGAGACAAGACCGCATCATATCACTCGTACCAGCCATGTTCCACCAGTTGTTGCCGCTTGTGCGCTTCACTAATGGGGTGGGGGCGCGACAAATCCAGCCTCACTGGCACGCCTCATCATCCGCAGCGGAAAGACCGTAACTCGTCTCAACACCTAGTATCAGCTGAGCGCAAGGGAAGTGGTCGCACTTAAACGTAGCGCCTCTGAACTACGTTAGTACCAGTCCTTTGAGGCCATCCTTGAGCTTTCCGATACACATGATATGACCTTCATATCACGTGTAAAGGCAGGGTGGAGCAAAGATTGATCCATGTCCAGGAAACCGAGGGTTTCATCAGCCGCTGCAGATGAATGCTCAGTTGAAACTTAAAAATCTCACCGACTCTCCCAATAATCATGGGCTGACTTTTGGGTGCTACTTTAGCTGATAGGGGCCACGCAATGAATGTCTAATGGTAAGGGCGCTGCTCTGTGGCCTGAGATGAAGCATCGAGAACTCTGGTCGTCCAGCTCTTCTGAAGCTAAGGCTAAGGAATGGTAGGATCACCATCTTGGCGACAAGACGCACCTGCCGAGTGTACGCCTCCACCTTCAACTACAGTAGACAGGGCACGTAGCGCCGTTGAGGAAAATTTCCGCAAAGTACGACCCCCAATGTCCTCCTTTGGTACCTCTGGCAGAGGCGACCCCCCTTCCTCTGCTCCTCCTAGCCACCATCTTCCGTAGTTCCCCCACACGAGCAACCTGTTCTCCGAACTTTTTTTCCTTGAAAACTCTTCAGGAATTCCTGCTTTTCTACACTTTTCCGGAAACTGCGGGAAGGGGGCAGTGTCAGATAGATAGTTACTGCGAGAAAAACCAAGAAAAGTCAACCATTAAAGACATTGTTCTCACAGGCACATACGAGCGCCTCCCTAGCGAGTAAATGCCAACCGTTCGCTAAGGATTCCCACGGAATGCCCGAGAGTAGAGCTAGTTTTTGTGTGGACTCTGTGTTGCACTGCATTTTTTTATCATACCGTCATTTGAGGAGTAGATGACCGCGCGCTGTGATTTATGCTCTTACCTACGACTACGTGATATGATGCATAAATCATAAAAAAGCTTGAAAAAACCAAAATGGCCCCTCAATAAAAGATGGTCAATTACCACGTCCACTCGATTGTTGGTGTCATGACAGGCAAGCCAAGAAAGAAACAATTCCAGAGCGTGATCGGGCCAGCCATCTTCTGGTATGAGCTTCTATAACAAAAATTTATTATGCAATATTTTAAGTACACTATAGTTCGCTGCGGACGGTTGGGCGTGTCAGCCAGTATGAGTGTGTCACCCTATCAAAGCCGTTCTCTGCCTTCTTGTTGAAACGCGCATGCGACAAAAAGTGGTAGAAAACGAGTAATACGAAGAATATGATACAGTATGTCCGCCACAACAACTGGTGTAGAACGAGTGGAGCAGGCAACGCCCGCAAAGTAGCAGCACTTAATGGCCCAAACCGTCCGCAGCGAACACACGATACTGACTGTTTCTGAGGTGCTTGACGGTTAACCCTGAATGACCTATACAAAATAGCATACAGCTTAATGTAAATTCCAGTTTTCATGGTGGGAAGGAGGGGGAGGGGAGGAAGTGTAGTGACAAGTGGCGCCTGGTAGAAGGTACAAATCCGAGACACAGTCGCCCGTGCTAAGCAAGCCTTTCGCCACTAAAAGGTCGGTTATTCGATACCTAGCTTGTCTGGGAGGATAAAAGCACTGAATTATACAACGGCTAGGCCATACAAGTAATTATGTAGACCAACCTCAATAAAAGCTGTAAGACTCGAATGGCCAGAGTGCGAACGGCGAATGCGCGGCGTATCCCGCGACAAGAGGACACCTACATCGAGGATACCTTTGCACTTTCAATCCGGTTAACGGGACAACATATACCCAGATAACCTTCAAAATGCTTGATGAATGCAAGCAATTATCTTCCCGTGACCAGCATTAGTATCGCACAGACACTTTGAATGTGGCCTGGCCAATGCAATAACTTCAGAGGGCCATCCGATGCACATGCCAGTGTTTGCACTCCTCCTTCGCCGTTTAAGGAAGTTTGATAGCAACCAAGGAGCCAGGCTGCATGGAAGGTTTGTTTGATGAGGGTGGATTTGACTGTCGTATCGTGTGCGTTAAAAGCCGCAGCTTCTCACAACACCACCTCCAACTCGTTGGTAATTAATATAGGTTGGAAGGAAAGTCCTGTCAGTGTTTTTTGAAAAGCTTACAGTTTTTGATTCTCGATGCTCGTACATGACGTAACATGCTATGCTTGTAGGACACTCTGGGAGCTTTCCTGCAAGAGGCGTGTGAGGGCGCCTGCTCTTCCCTGGGTTTAATTACGATGTCACTATCTTCGGGTCATCATCTTCTATCAGTGGCCCCGCGGCACTGGAGCCAGCGGCAGCTGTCCGTAACATCAACAGTGCATTGAGGGAGGACACCACTACCGTCAGGATCGTTCACTTTTAGTTCGCTCGCTTCGCGAAAAGAGACTCGATCCTCGAAGACAAACCTTGGTTGGGACGGCCCCAAGAAGTATAAGACTCCACCATTCTCGAAGCAGACAAGGGGGATCCAGAGGCTACCACCCGCAGTCTTGCGACAAGACTCGGATGTACCTAACTGACAGTCGTCCACCGCCTGTAAGCCTTTGACTACCAAGAAGTACTGGCTTGATGGATCATTCATACCTTGACCGATGGCACGCTGTGCACCCGGGTACCCCTTGGTCAGTCTCCCCTTCTCTGCCCTCGTCAGAAGGAGTTTCCGGGAGACTGCTTAGTGGGGATGAGAGATGGGTCCTCTATGATTTCAACCCACACAGTACCGTTTGTCTCTCTCAAGGAGAAGATCCATTCTAGCAGTCCAAACCGGGCATGTATTCCGAAAAGGTTCTCCTGTGCTGCTCCTGGGACGCGAGGAGGTGCTGCAGAACGAGCTGCCCCATAAGAACAGACGGTCACCGCCACCATTTGTTTTATGATTTATGATGTGTCGCTCAGCTTTTGAAACCGGTGAAAATTGTTGGAGAAAAATGACCGAGACTAGCTTCGGGTCACCTCGTTCGTAGTACACGAGACCCCATACCTGCTATGAAGACCTACCAAATAATTGAGGAGCAAGGCTGGAAGACCAGTCCCCGCTCATCGTATTCTCCTGACGTAGTCCCCTACGACTGCTACCTGCTCCGCCTCCTTAAGGCTTTCTTAGCTAAGAAAACTTTCAGCAATTTTGATGACATCAGTCGAGAGGGCGCTGACTTACTCTACTCGCAGCCTTCTCAGTTCTGGGAGGAGGGGAATGCTTACCTGTCCATTGGGTGGAGCACTGTAGTGGCTAACTATGACGAGTATATTGTTGACTAATTCCCACTGTATATTGTAATTTACCGTACATAAGTTCCCACTTGCAAATATTGAGTTAAAAAATAAAATAAAAGCTCACAATAGTGAGCAAGACTTCCTTCCAACACTATACCTATGTACTCTTTAATTTGTAAGGATGATAGATTAAGAAACTAATCCCAAACCACGTGCGACTCCTACCAATTTATTCGAAAATAATGTGAATACAATCCGTACAATAGCTGTGGAACCGTTCGAATTGGTGATTCTATGCTTCCAATTTAAGTTTTTTTAGGTAATAGTAGAGTTGGCCGACAGCCGATAGAGTTAGCAACCGCGCTTGGTTTTCGCAACAACAGAAAGTATCGAGCCCATTAAGGGCACGTATTAAGTTGGCGGCAAAGTTCCGATATATTTTTTTATTAAAACTGAGCTTCTTTTTTATAGAAGAACGAATAGAATCAAAAGTATGCAACATCGCTGTCGAGAATTCCTTTGCCAGTTTTTGGAATCTTTTATCTCCACATCTCACATTATAATGTGGGCTGAGCGGAGGCGACGCTTACAGGTAGGACATCCAGGTGAATTTTGACAGCGAAGCTCGGGGAGTGAAGTGAGTGAAAATATTTCGGAAACGTAACGAGAAATTTTGAAAAGCACTCAACGGTCGGAAGCAATGTTCGGGCTATACCGGTGCTGAAGAAGAGCCGTCTAGCTGTACATAAGGTTCGGCTTCCCCTTTCTCAAAAGTGCGGTACGGTAGTGTCATTTTGGACGCGGGTTTAGCGGACGTCACTCTCATTGACGAGTCGCTTCAGATCTCGCAGGATGCCGCGGAGCGCAGCGCGGGAGGATCGCAGCTTATCTTTGTGCAGAGCCATCGGGAAGTAGCAGATTTGTCGGCAGTAAGTTTCACTAAGCATCCTTCGAAGTTTGAGAAATTAAAGGCACTTTCCGCGATAAAATAAGGCTATGACCTTTCAAATGTGTCAGACGATCCGGAAGGAGATTGCGGAGGCTGCGCTACCTTTAGAAAGTGAAAATCGGCAAGAATTCCGCTTTAAGCTAACCAATTAGGCCCATGGGCGCCCCTTAGGCCCATGCCGACCCCCACCGGCTGCTAGCTACTAGCTAATAGCTCCCACTATGGCTATCTCTCTCCATTCCAAATGGTGAGAGTGAGGTGATACGATAAAAGAGCTGATATCTTTATGATAACGACGAGTGGAAATTCGTACAAACATGCGTTTTCTTCATTGCATGCATGCACAAGGTTCGAGTGCGGATATGGAGATCCTAGGTGTTAGGCACTTGTCGGCTTCGCTTTTCGGCTGTTTTTCTCCCGCCTAATCCACATACCTAGCCCTTTTTCGTTCCTATGTGGTTCACGCCGGTTAGACCAACCACAATGCTGTGGTCGCGGGGCTTTGCCTTAAGAGAGCGGAAGCAACCAGTCTCATAATGTTAAGATAAGTCGTGTAGGTGGTACCCGGTAGATGAAGTGTTGTAGGACGCCCTCACCATCTCTACCACGGCGGCCACCACACCCTACTCCACATCAGAGGCCTGGCTTGCTTTTCCAGCTTCACACCAGTAAGCATTAAGCTGGCCATTAGAAGACCGCTGAGAAGGACGATACTAGTCCTATAGACCCGTCTTCATTTTGGTGAACAAGCTCTAACGCGAAGCAGAGTGGTTGAAGAAAACGTTTGGAGGAGGAGTACTGACAGTCCGGGACGGGGATCTTGTCTATATTGCAAAAATAAAAGGGTAGTGAACAAATGAGTAGTACGGAATAGAAAGAGTAACTACCGCACGGGAATCATTGCTTCCAGTTATACCATGAGGGTCTGGAGCGCGAGACAGTTCTCGCGCGAGGCTAGTCCAAGGAAGTGCCGAGGCTTAAGAGAATGAGCGAAAACAATTTTGCGGTGGCTGCGCAAAAAAAGTTATGAGAGAAGTAGATGTTGAGCAGAAGAGCACTATACGCGGCTGTCAAATCTTCGCATTGTGCACTGAGTTGTCCGCTGGCTGAGGACATGTGTCAGGAGGCTGAGTTTTGGAGCGCGAGCAGGGACGCGGCTCGCTCGTGCAGTCCAGCTAGTAGTGAGCTTGCCGACCGAGCTTATTAAACATGGTAGAAATGAGATCGAGGCAATAAGGGTTGGCGGCGCGAAGAAACAGAAGTAGCGACCGCGCTCCGCCGCATACGAAGGCACCACTGTATAGCGTTATTATCGTAGGCCCACCACGAAAAATGATCTTTAAGCTGGAAGGTGTTGACTAGACAATTATACCGCACACGCGCAACACTCCGAAGCTTTCTAGAGAGACCGCAACTAAAAAATCTACAACGCTTAATAACAGTCCACCGGCTGCGGAAAGTGGCCTGTTAGGAAATCATCGTTATCTGGCTGCACCACTTAGAAGCGGAGCGCTCAGCTCAACGACTTTGGACTTACGGCCATCGTCAAAACGCCAACGTCATGCGCGATTATGTTCTTTATGAGCGTTCACAGTCAGGACAATCAACAAGAGAGAAAATATACGCCTGGCTCAGTTTTGGTCGCGGTAGATTATTTAAACGCCAGAGAAATATGGTTCGGCGGGAGTAATGTGATATTGGCAGACACACCTATAATTTTCTGAGCGCTTAACTTGAAAAAGCATACAGGCATGGACAATTTGGTGCGTCGTCTAATATGGTGGCTAAGTGGGATGGTGCTATAGTAGTGGAGCCAGCGAAGCGTAAAAGCGAAGTTAAAACGCGTCAAACCTTGGAAAAAGACGCGCTTTGTTCGAGGCCGACTCGGGAAAGCAGTTGCAGGACGAGTTTCCCAGCTGGCATCGTTGCCAATTGAAACGCTACGGCTAGAGGTACGTGCTGTAATGTAACAGGTTTTTCTCAATCATTGCGGACCGGATGGGGCGGTCCAGCCAATGGACTGCGCACTAGTCTCGGGCTGCACGTATCTGTATGGAAAGCCGTTCTACGCTTTCGTATGCAACACCATCAGGACGCGTAATGCGACAAAGAAGTTGGACGAAACGCAATAATACGAAAAGGATATTTATCAACACGAATGCAATTCATTACGGCTTCAAAAACTGGGCGAGAATCGTCACTCTGCCAAAACGGCACCAACATGCACCGCCGTCACTGCCACGACCCCACCGGTACCAGCAGATGATAGAGGACTGAAAATGTATATTCATGATATCGATGCAGAGCGCAGCCGGCAAATCGCTTCATATCTAATCTCTCACTATTCGTTTCTACTCGTTAGACTTCGCAAATGAACGCCTATACAAGCATCAGCATGCTGTCGGACGATTTTGTGGGCGGGAGCGGTGGAAATCCCGCGTCGCTACTGATGGCATCCTTTGAACAGGGCGCTAAAATAAAGTTTTTTCAACCTACCCTTCGGACAAAGGCAGCGCGCAAGCGGCCTGCTCAGAGGCGAAGAATTCTGTCCTGCCGCGATCGTCAGCAATTCTACACGTCTTGAGGATTGGTCGTCCTGACTTGTCGTTGGCGCCTAGGACCAAGTCATAAAACCTTCGTATGATTTTTTTTTGGCAGAAAAGCAGCTCTCATGGTTACGCGCCGGTATTAAAAAAAAACTCCCAGGCAAGAAAACACGAGTACTCCAAAAGACACATGCAAACACGCAATTATGGGCCCGCCACTGCCATTATTATCGGAAGCCAAGAGGCCAACGTCGTCAATCACCTGACAGCTGACTGCGTTCTAATAAATAATATCAAAAAAGTCATGAACGGAGAATCATCACCTTTTCCCAGAGTGAATCGAGAAGTTTAGCACTGGATTTGGACACCATACGTGAGTATTCAGCCTCAGTATTACCGAATGAGGCACGCATCGTACAACTGGCACAACGTGGGTCTCCGGAAGCGGATTTCCGTATCCCAGCGCTGTTGAAAGGAGTATCCAACCGTGAGCTCAACGAATCCATGATTAGTTATAGTGCAGTGAATGAGAGCCGTGTTGAGCGCAATGAGTGGAATGGTTATGAATCAGAAAAGAGGTGAAGCAAGCCACGCAAATGTCGAACAGTGCACGATTTCCGTTTCACGTCACGCCCACCATGACGGGAATAGCGCCGGGTCGAAGAACCTAATTCTGTCGGGAAGCATTTCGCATCATTAGTGACAAAAGTATGTTACACGATATTTATTCCATTACATGATAACGAATGAAAGTATTAAATAGCACAGAGCGTTTCGGCAAATATCCGATTCAAGCCAACACATTCTTGCGAAAACAACTCTTCTGAACAAACAATGAGGAGTACCATCAAAGCCACAAAATGGGACAATTACTTAAGGACGGTAAGAAAATTTGTAAACAATTTCCGATTCACCAGTCCGCTAGTTTGGGGGGGGGGGTAGGGTGCGGGGGTAGGAGGTGAGCTGCGGAGTGCAAGGAAGCATCCTGTGAATTACTGTCAATTGCGCAAAGTTTTGTAAACTTCTCTAAAGCTACGGACGTCCTAACATTTCCTTGGTGCGAAAGAAAGAACGAGCGCACTGCTGAGGAATTTTGTCACCCTAGGTGGTACAGTGTGGTCCCTTTCGGCGGGCAAGGGTAACACTCTTGGTCGGCAAAAATTGAAGGCACCTTACCTTGGGGGATTGGACATCTGAAGGACCTTGGGTGCAAATTCTGGGAGGGCTAACCGCCCATCGGAATTATGAACTATCGTGTTTGAAATGGTTCGACCGCACCTCGGCAGGCTTCTGCTGTTTCCCCTTTGCAGCTAGGACATGAAATCTATCAAACCTCCGTACGGGAGAGGTAGCTTTCTGCCACAGAAAGCCCTTTTCGAAGTGCATCTGTTCAAGAGTTTAATCAGGGCTCGAACTGGTTTCCGCTTTTCTTAAAGAGCGGTTCACTCCTCCCCCGAGACTGACAACTATTTTTTTGCACCGTCCTGTCTTAGCTTATTTTACTCATTCCAGATACTAAGGTTGTACAGATCCTACAAAGGAAGAGGCTCGCACCACTTGTGACTGCGTAGGAGTTTGAAGGCCTTCGCGAAAATGCCCAGAATGTCGATAGAAGTTTACAAAATGCCGCCTTCGCGGCACAAGAGTAGTATCAAGAATTTCACCTCTAATTACTTTCCGTACACACTCCAGGCAATTTCAAATATTTTCGATGGCTCTGTTCCCACTGTCTCGTCCGCCATTCGTTCCTCGACGTAATCAAAGGGTGCATTCCACGATGATCATACCGTACTAGAGATTCGAAATCTCTCCTGTGTATAAGTCGTAACATTGAGGGGTTCACGAGCAAACAGAAATTCGCGGAAAGGGCGTCAACGGATTTGCGAGTTTCTGGACGACGTGCACTACACTTTATCCGTGCCTTATCTTCGTCATCCAGGGCTAGCTGTGGGTTTTACCTGCGCACATTCATCTTGCATAAAATCGATTGTAAAAAAAAGAGAGGCCTCTGCTGAGAGTGTTCGCAATCTCTTTGCTTCACCAGTGATGAGTTACTTGGAATAACATTACAATAAGTATAACAGTTACACACTTAAACCCTTCCGCGTGTGCCTGGCTATCGTGAAAAGCCTCTGTCTTGTCTTCGACACGATCATTATGGCCACCATGACCAATACCTACTTCTAAATCTTCGCATTACAAAGAGGGGCAACTCACGAAGGACAACACCTGCAAAAACCCGCTATCTCGGAACATTGCCATTACTACAGAAAAATCTAACTTTCAAACTTTTCAGGGCCGCTAAATACATAGAGAAGTAATCTGAGACCAAAAATGAAGTACTTCACACATGATCCACAGCAACTTATCGTTCAAGTGGATTGAGCCCAAGCTTCGCCCTAAGGGCATTTGCTTCTTCGATTTCTCGTTCATCATCGTCCCTGCCACCTTTCCTGCTTCTATGGTGATCTCTATCATCGCGATCTCGTTCATCACGACGTGGACGATCACGATCTGAATTTTTATCAGTCATCAAAGTTTACCAAGGCAAATAAGAAATGGCTTGAGTACGGTAAAATCTCAAAGCCAAATGACTCAAAGGATACTTGGAGCTGTTCGCCTTTTCTGAAGTAAAAATTCCTGCAAACGATAGGGCGTGTGTGGCGGTTCGGATCAGAACGCAGCTAGGGCGGCCTTTTTCCACCAGTGGTGCGATCCTGGCCCAACTGCAACTGGTGGAAAATCTGCCCCTGCTGCTCGCATCCATCACACGCCCTGTCATTTGCAGGTATCGCGACCGTAAATCAGCTGCACTCACAACAACATCATTCTAAACTCAGAATCTACCACTAGAAGACGAACTGAAGTCAAAGTAGGATCGACTGAACTGAAGGTAAAGCTCACCTCTTCTGTCCCGATCTCTGTCACGGTCACGATCACGATCTCGTGACCTCTCCCTACGGCGGTCTCGGTCTTTATCATGACGATCTCTTTCATGACGATCTCTATCTCTGTCACGATCCCTATCACGTTCCCTGGACCGTTCTCTCCTTTTCTCTACCTCGCGCTCGCGTTCGCGTTCACGTTCCTTCGGCTTTTCTCTAATTCTCTCGCGCTCTCGTGAACGATCTCTACTGCGGCTTCGTCTTCTCGATATCAAACGTGGTTTCTCCTGAAATGGTATAGAAGGTGAATTTGACAAAGTAAAGAAGTTATAACTGTTGAGGAGACTAACCTTCTTCTTCGCTTTCCTTTCTCTTTCATCCTCACTGTCAGATGCGCTCAAAGCGTCTAAGTCTTCATCGAGGATACTTCTGTACGGCTCTAGTTCACCAGCTTCTTCTAGTGCTTGCCGCTTCTAGAACGGGAACGCTTATCTATGGAGCATAAAAAATGGCATGAAAAAGGCTACCACTTGAAGACACATTCCGCAACTACTTCATGGACAGAATCCCTTCTACGTTTATGCTGGGCAGGTCCGCAGCCGCACCACATGCCATTTTCGCTGTTCCCTAGTGCGTAGTAAGCATGCTAGGTGGTAGTGACGTACGCCTGACCACGCCTCCCAACCCAGAGAACACCAATACGCGCAACTACTGCATAATGAAATGCTCGACATTTGTGTCTTTAATTGCGCCTTGAATGAGTCTTTGTACCCTCGCTTATCCGTTTTTTGGTCTATTCAGCTTTCGTCGCTTTCGTAGCTTCCTACTCAAAATCAACCACAATGGAGAAAGGTTAAATCAAGGACACGGTTTCTCCCGTTGCTCTTGACTGCTCAGCTAGTCACCACTCGGAACCTTCATTTGTAAACCCTACTTCCTAAGGCACGGAGTCGCCAAATGTGCCTTCATATTACAAAAAAATCTTCAATAAAAACCTGTAAGCGAGGAAGTTGAATGTCACAATATCGTTCTTCCCGCAGAAGATTATCAATGAACTCATCCATGTAAACCAACTCGAATCCTGCACAACACGAACACTTTTACCAGTGCAAGAAAAACTATGAGTTAGGCGAAAGTATTCACTTCCTAGCTTGTTCATATATCGGAGTTTTCTGTAGTCATTGAACAACGGTTCCAAATACTTGTAAATCTCCACAGAAGTAAATGTAAGTCGCAGATACATAGCACCTAGTGCTCGTGCATATCTAAAAAAAGTGTAAATAACATCTGCTTCACTTGCGCAAAAGGAGACTTCAAAGAAAACTGGTCTTCTTGAACGCCGTCCTTCAAAGCACACCAGTTTTCGTTTTTTTTGAAAGCACACCCTTCGTTGTCTCGTCGATTCTCTTGCCTACAGAGTGTTTCATGATTACTGTGTCCTTTCACATTCTGACTCTTCACACATGATAAGTAACACACAACCTGGCTCACTACGGATGAAGGCGGTGTGTCCGGCGAGATACGTTTGGCGCGGCGCCAAACTCGTTCTCTTCCAGTTCTTGAAGAGGGAAAGCGAAAGCCTTCAGTGAAAATGACTGATACGAAAGATATAAGATATAGTCTCGTCGCTTGCTCGCTTTAACAATTGATTGGAAGCGGGTTTGGCGCTCCGCCATACCCATCCCCCTTTACACGCCCCTTCATCTACAGCGAACAAGACTGTATCCAGAACCTCTCAAGATCCCTCTGAAAACCCATCCATGAGCTCAAGAATAGTGC